AAGATGAACTAAGGTGTGAAAGAAAATAATTTGAACATATTAGAAGGAAAGGTAGAAAGATACCACATTATTTGCTAAACATTATACATACACGATCCTGTATAACACCCCAACAGCCCCATCGTTTAGAAGAGACTCAGAAACAATGCACTGGTACAGGAATTGAACTAAGCAAGGAATTGAAGCTAGGTCTCTCAGTTTCAAAAGGTCATATGCTAAAACATTATAGTAAGAAATTTGGAATTTGTTCTGAGATGACAGAGTTTCATGCTATCAAAGCCAGAATTGAAGAAGACTACTCTAGGGACAAAAGCAGATTTATCATAAAGTCAATAAAGCAAGGCATAGGACACCTCAATTGGATGGGCCTCTTGAGTGCTGGAGTTCTTGGATGTTACAAGCATTCCAGGAAGGAAGGGAAAGTCATTTTAAAATCCAGAAGGATTTATATGTAAGTGCATCTGAAAATTGTCTAATGATGTTAGATGTTAGAAGAAGTGTTTTAATCTTCCAGACTTCAGTGGTTTCTACATTTTTTGTAGTATATTTTAAAACTGCAAATACACATTCATTTTTCTACCTAATTTTTTTCTTATAATTGTATAGTACTTTTCTTTTCAAAAAGATCGTAAGTCATATAGTCTTCAGCTTTTGCAAATCTTATTTCTGCCTCTGCCTAGACATAGTGTGTGTGAAGACTGTAAGATGAAAGTAGGGAGTTGAGTTAGAAGGATTAAGCAAAAGTATAGGTATGAGGTATGAAAGACTAGAACTAAAATAATAGCACATAAAATCAGAAATTATAAGATTTACTCAGGAAACAGAGTAAAGAAAGAATAAGCAGAATTTAGTGAGTGGTAAAATACAAAACACAAAAACAGTAAAATCTCATTCTACGTTTTTGAGCAATGATGTAAGTGACAAGATGGTGTTATTAACAGTAGGCAAGTCAAGAGGAACTTACTGGTGGCTTGAAAAATGAGGTGGAATATCAGTGGAGAAAATAGGTGCTGGAGAATATAAAGAATTCAGTGTGACATAATTATCATTGCTCTAATGTCTGGCTGACATTCGAAATGAAATACAAAAGATTTGTAGATTTCTGGTATTGTACTTAGAGAATAGAATACTGTGCACATGGGCAGACATTTGCAAATGTGGTTAGGGTAATATACAGTACGTGGCTAAACACAGAACTGTATGAACTGCCCAAAAGCAGGTAAGAGTAAATGAGGAGGAATAGAAACAAGTCTCAAAAAAATTAGTTTGTTTTAGTTGAGTATACAAACTTTGAGTTTTGTGCAAAGGCGGTCATATGATTGTTTGTTTGTTTGGTTTTGTTGAGACAGAGTTTGGCTCTGTCACCCAGGCTGGAGTGCAATAGCACCATCTGGGCTCACTACAACCTCTGTCTCCTGAGTTCAAGCAATTCTCCTGCCTCAACCTCCTGAATACCTGGGACGACAGGTGCATGCCACCACATTCAGCAAATTTTTTTTTTTTTTTTTTTTTTTTTTTTTTAGTAGAGATGAGGTTTCAGAGTGTTAGCCAGGGTGGTCTCAATCTCCTGACCTTGTGATCTGCCTGTAATCTCCCACAGTGCTGGGATTACAGATGTGAGCCACCATGCCCAGCCTGTGATCTTTATAAGAACTAATTCAGTAGAGTCATCCTTTGGTATCTGTGTGGGATTGGTTCTAGGACTTCTGAGGATGCTTAAGTCCCTTAAATAAAGTGGCATAATATTTGCCTATTACCTAGGCACATTGTCTCATATACTTCAAGTCATCTCTAGCTTGCTTATAAATCTTAATATAATGTAAATGACATATAAATAGCTGCTATACTGTGTTGTCTAGGGAATAATGACAAGAAAAGAATGTCTATACACGTTGAATACAGGCACAACCCTCTTTTTTTCCCCTTATATTTTCAATCAGTCGATTGAATTCACAGACACAGACCTTGCAGATCTGTAGGCTGACTACATAGTGATGAGAACCACAGTCTGAATAATCTGAATGTGAAGGACTACTGAAGAATTTGGTGGTAATAGTATAATCTGTGAGTATAAAATGCTCTTCCAAGAAACCTGACAAAGAAAGATGAACTTAGATTGTGGAAGAGTAAGATATGTATTTATATAGATAGATAGATAGATAGGTATTTGAAAACTTTTTTTTTAAGAAAAAAAGAGATTATATGTTTCTCTCAGAGAAAAGGGAAAACTGAACATATAAAAGAGTATGGATGGTTGATGAAGCAATGTTCTGAAGAAGATAGAATTATATGGGGGCAGAGATGCGAGATTTATTTATCCAGGGCAAATAAGAACAAGACCTTTCCTCTGTAAAGTCACAAGAGAATGCTTGAGAACATTTAGAAAATTTTGAAAATTTTAATATTGCTAGTGCAGGCTCTTGGAATGATGATTAAGACCAAGGTATATTCATGCTAATAAAGACTGAAGTAAAATAGGCATCCAGATCCCTGAAGTGGAAAGGTAAAAGAATTGTGAAATCAGCTAGGAAGTCAATATTATTAAGGAGGATACCAGAGGCTGCAATTAAAAATAAAGATTATAAATAAAGATCTTAGATGCTGTGAATATAACCTGGGGGATGGTAAATGACAAATACAAGAAAGAGGGCAAGAGTTAGTTTAAATAGCAAGTGGAAAATTCAAATAAAATGTGTTTGTTAATTAGCATCAATTAAGTTAATTGGTGGACAGAGAGAAATGCATAGCTGTACTCATATTGTGTGAAGAATATTCATAGCTACACAGGTATTATAAAGTGTTTATCAATATCTTATACAAAAGGCTAGGTATAGTTTTGATATAATTTTTAGTTTAAAGAATCACTTAATTCATTTTTATAAAAACTCTATTTGTTAAGAAATAACAAGTGTCACTGTATTTCTCCAATGGTGAAGATATCAGGGAAACTATGTATTGAAAATAAAGTCTGATCCGTCCACTATGAGCTGTGTTAGACAAATAGAAGCAAATGATCAAAAAGTTAAATCCTCTAAAAAATATATATTATTTCCTAAACATGAAAGGTTTGCTTTCTGGTGCTTTCATAATTAGATTATTTACTTATTTGCATCTAAATTTATATCTCCTTTTTTCCATTAAAAAATATCAAATCCACCAAGGAAAGTTGTCTCCACCAAGATAAATTAAACAGAAAGACTTGGAGAGAGTTTGGCTCTGAACTCCCTGGTAGTAAGGCACAAAAGTGAACATATTAAGGCTCATAGTTCTGGTGTTGAGAACACGTGAAAGCATTCCACTTCCTCAGGGAAAAGAATTATTTTTCTTGCTTTACATTCTAGAAGAAACTTCTGAAATTAGGTTTTTTGTCATGGACATTTAGCAGCCTAGTACAATGACCTTGACAATACAAAAACTAGCATGAGATTTATTTCTACAAACAAAAAAAGTTGATTGCATAATATTCAAAGTAACTAACTTTTTAAAAACGTAATTTTTCAAGAGATTGAGATCATTAAACTTAAATATCTAGGCTATTTGGTTTAACTTGGTACAGTGGCAAAACTTAGGATATAAGAGGATTCATGGACTAAAAGTCTCTTAGTTTATATCTTCCCCAAATATTTTCATTTGACTTTTACAAAAATACATGTAGGCAGCATGGTGAAAGTCTCATAATGCAAATTCAGGAAACAAAAAAGAAATCGTATCACCTACTGTAGATGATACTCAATAGAGGCCAATCCTATCTTGTTCATAACACTGTGTTTTCTATGGCCTTTTCTGTTACTATGAATTTAAGATCAGGACACCTCGGAGAGAGGCTTTCTTTTCTGGAACAATAAATATTCTTCAGAGAATTTGCTGAACTTGAGCATCAAAGCCAATAGACTTAACAAGAACTTGATATATTTGTCTACAGATTAATAGTTATGTAACTCATTAGGTTAGATAAATCTAAAGAAAATGAATATAGTATTTATTGATCAAACATTAGATTTTATTAGATTTATTTTTCATAAAGCATGGCCTTTTATATCCAGTTGTGGAGATTTTATGATCTGAGATAATTGGTACAGACATATTCTGAAACCTCTCTTGTGTACACCAGCTCCTACCCAATTACACCTAATTAGATTCACAGATCACAAACATTAACCGCCTAGGCTTTTATGCAGCCTTCTCAGATAAGAAGAGAAAAAAAAAATGGTTTCACAAAATTTTGAAACTGTTCATATACATAAAAAATAAACAAATGGGCAAGGCATACATTGTAAATGTGTGCATTATTTCCAGACGTAACAATTAGAGCAAAGTGAAATAGAATAAAGTTTAAGAATCATTGATTTCTAATCTCCACCCTATAAAATAATCTAATGTCAACATAATCTCATCTGTCTATAAAGTCCACCTGAATATGAAAGCTCATGGTACCATCCACCAGCACACAAACATATCCAGTACAACAAATCCTTATATTTCTTTCACCTGAGCATTTTCATTCTCTGATCTTTAGTTTCAAGGCCTGCTATTTGTTAACCAGTGATATAAAAACAATATCCCTTAGATGGATCCATTTCCTTTTGTTTTAGAGAATGCCATTCTCAGGTGCCATCTCAAGCAGTGACTGGTGCTTCAGTTCACGACTTAAATAACCTCATGCCCACTTTAGTAGCGACAGAAAGAAAACAAATATGAACGAGATACTGGTTCTCACTGGTATTTACTCATATCACCCTTATTTTCTGTGGCATGGTACCACATGGTTCTGTGAGCACTGAACTCACAAGATGTTCCTTATTAAATAAACAAAGGGAATAAATACTTCAGGAAGATGAAAAGGAGAAGGGGAAAAAAACAAACGAGCAAACAAAAACCCCTTTGACCTGACATTATGGAAAAAAATAAAAAAAAGACACTAAGATGGAAAAAAAATAGTGTCATGGTTTACATGTGGGATTTTGATGGAGTCTAGGGCTGTGTTTTAATTCAAAACTCACCATCTCAAAACCACTTCTTTTCATCCGCCTGCAGGACTTGAGGTAAGTACGTATACGTTTTCTGGCACGCTCTTGATACTCAGGGAATTGTCGCCTGCATGAGTCAATGATAGCCTGGATCTTTTCTTTGGGCTGCTTAGAGATTGGGACCATTCGGTCCAAGTTTTCATCTACAAACAGCCTGACAAACATCTGTTGGCAAGAGGGAGACAGAGGAGAAGGGTTTGGAGGGCTGCTCTCTTCTGTTCCTAGCTTCCTGTCTTGATTACCGATAGGAAAATACTGTTTTCTGGTTTATGCACTGGAGAACTTTGCAATGGAAAGCCAGAAATTTTAAGCAAACACTCTTTAAAGACTTTCTAAATGGTTGGATTAAAAAATAGAGAGAAAGAGAGAGAAAGGCAAGACAGACAGACAAACATACAGAAAAGAATAGACTATTGTGTAGAAAAAAATCAGGAAATAACAGTAGACTGTGACAATTGAGCACCCCATTACATTCTCTATTAATGATGAATACGACTGTTACATTGCTATACTGCACAGTGGACTAATCTCTGAAATCAAACAATTGACTCTTTTGTCATGCATAATTAGATAAGCTAGGAAAGCAAAAGAAATAACAGATGACGGGCGTACTCTTCCGAGGACTAAGCTGAGGCCCCCTCCATCCACTAGGTAAACATGCATACTCACACAACACAACTCCAGTTTTCAGCTCACATTTGGCTTTAAAATTCTAAACAAAACACAGCAATTCTGGTGTCTGGTTGGCAAAGAGTGTTTCATGTACTTTTTAAATCCTTCTGTAAATTAAACAAACATGTCTCTAAAATATCCACATTTACCAACAAGCAACAACATGAAAGTGAAGTGGCAAAAATTAAACCACACTTGGAGCGTGTGTCAGGACTCACATTAAAAGCTTTCAGCCGCTCGGCTTCCACGCCATCTGTCTCATTAACTTTCTCCGAATCGTCATGGTCCTCGTGGTCATCTTCATCCTCGTCCCCCCTGTTTAGCGAGAGGTCCTCAGCGCCTCGGTCTACACTCTCGTTTTTTCCAGAGTCATAGCTGGAGTAACTATGTGCAGGAGACTGAAAGAAGAAGGTGAAATACCTGCTTTTAAATTCATTGCACAAGCTTATAAATTTTATGTTTCATCTTTAATTTCAACTGTTTCTCAAAAACACTGTTTATGAGTTGCTAACCCTAGAGCAGTGGTGATTTTAGTTTAAATCAAAATTAATTCAAATGAACTTAAAAATTCATTTCCTTGGTCACATCACACTAGTCACATTGCAAGTGCTGGTTAGCTGCATGGAATGTTTCCATCACTGCAGAAAGTTTTATTGAACTTAGCTGTTCAAGTGCAATTACTGTTTCCTCTCAGTATTCATATTCCAAATAAAAAAACAATGTGTAATCGATTTTGTAAGAGAATCAGTAAGTCACATATTCATAGAACTTAATATGACCTCTTGGTTAGTATTAGTATTATACTTTATATAATGTTATATTATATTATATCAATATCATACTAACTTGATTAGTATTATTTAAACAGGTATGGAAATTGAGGGACGGATATGTTTAATTAACTTGCCTAGCAAGAGCTATACAAAATGTTATTGAGATTAGGACTATTAGTTATTAGTTAACATGCTTTAAAATAAATGTATAAATTGTCTATGAGTCTTAAGAGGACATCTGATTTTGGTTTAGAAAATGGGAACCAGGTTTCTTGCTAATCATCTGCTAAGTTTAATGTTTCTGGATTCTAACACCATTCAAAAGACACAAAAAATTCAAAGCAAGAACAATTAAATAATAATGATGCATATTTCCATGTAAAAATCATGAAACATCTGAAAAATTGAAAATGTTTAACAGTTCATTTTCACATGTAAACAGCTGATAGCCTTCAACAAATTTAAAGCAAGAACAATTAAATAATAATGATGCATATTTCCAGGTAAAAATCATGAAATAGCTGAAAAATTGAAAATGTTTAACAGTTCACTTTCACATGTAAACAGCTGATAGCCTTCTTAGAGCCTCAGTTATCAGTACACAATGCATAAGTATATCTATATGTTAATGGGCTGTTTAAACCAACTGGCTTTGATTACTTTCCTTTTTGGGATTACACCTATTCCAAATATTTTCTCTTAGGACCCTCTAGGATAATTCCAGAGTAAGTTTGGAATTATCCTGAGTAATAGATAATTTTAGAGTAAGTTTGGAAGAGTGACCTGGAAACAAAGAAAATCCAGGTATATGGTGTGATAAGGAGCTTGATTCAGCCATGTACATCATAACAATAAACTATTTTATGTAATCTCTCTGAGACCATAACATTAGCCAATCTTAGCATATTCTAGGTACTTTTGATAAGATACTAAACTAAGATGTAGTCAAATTTAAAAAGGAGTATTCTCTATTTTTATTTCATGATATAAAACATATTTTCTGAGACATCAAATACCATAAAGCAAATAATGAAGCAAGTAAGTGAGAGGTAAACAGAATTAGCACTTAGAACAACTGCATACCTAGACAATTGGTTCCCTTAAGCTTCATAGCAACCAGCTGAAAGAGGATTATCCTCCAGATTCTACAGATAAGAAAACAGCTTCAGAAAGTCTAAACAATCTCTTCTTATTTGAAGAATGAGGTTATATAAAAAGTATGTGAACCTAGGTCTGCCTAAGAGCTAATAGTGATCAAATAAGGTTTTCTCTTCAATATGAAGTTTTTCTTTTTAAGTGTGTATGTGTGTTTGTGTGTATATAATTGAAAGAACATAAAATATTTATTGGTTTGTGTACATGTTAATATTTAAACAAAATATTTTATAAGTGATTTCCCCTAAAACTGTTACTCCCCTAAATAAACTGGATACATTATTTACATTTTCTTATAGAACAGTAAATTTGCTATACAATTTCTTTACATAATAGAATCTATTTAAATAATTTATTAGTGCTTCACCCACAGTTTTACTTATTTGTTTCACTGGATAAAGTAAAACAAAGATAAACTATTATAATCAAATGCAGATAATTATATTTTCTTAAATATAAAACATCTATTAGAAGGAAATAGTGACAAGCTCTCTTGTTTTTCAACTTGAGACCAAACATACTCTGGAATAAATATATTTTAGGAAAAATATATATTTAAGAGAATAAACTCTTAATAAACAGCAATAACATACAACTTTTAAGACCAACATGGTTAACAGTAATTTCTTTTTTTTTTTAAATTAATTAATTAATTAATTTATTTATTTTTTTTTTGAGACGGAGTTTCACTCTTGTTACCCAGGCTGGAGTGCAATGGCACGATCTCAGCGCACCGCAACCTCCGCCTCCTGGGTTCAGGCAATTCTCCTGCCTCAGCCTCCTGAGTAGCTGGGATTACAGGCACGTGCCACCATGCCCAGCTAATTTTTTGTATGTTTAGTAGAGACGGGGTTTCACCATGTTGACCAGGATGGTCTCGATCTCTTGACCTCGTGATCCACCCGCCTCAGCCTCCCAAAGTGCTGGGATTACAGGCTTGAGCCACCGCGCCCGGCTGGTTAACAGTAATTTCTAAAAACTCCTGCTCCAACTCCAAATGTCTATCTCAAAGTCAATCATTTCTTCCCTCAGCAAATCTTTATATTGAGTATCACTACATTTTGTTTTGTGCCAAGATACTCTGCCACAGAGCAATAGTCATTCAATAAATTATTTATGGGCACCTATTATGCATCAGGCAATATTCTAAGCCTTTTAAATACATAACTCATTTACAACAAAATGGTTAAGTGACTCCCAATTCACATAGCTAGCAAGTGAAAAAGGATCTGAATCCTTTGGCTCTGAGTTTATCATCTTCACACTATTCTATGCTGTCTATAGGATGACTACTTAAGAGGCTATTATTATAATATCAGTAGAAATCAATTCCTAAGGAACTGTATTTCTTGACACAAACTTTTAAAATAGAAGTACCTCTGTGACAAGAAATATTAAACCCATTTCACTATTTAACATCTGACTATGAATTTCTCTGAGCCAATCTAATAGAATATATGTATTTTACATGGGCTGGAGCCTATTTAATAATGTTTTGTATTCATTAAGTGTCTTAAAATTTACATGGAGCTTTAACTTCCATGTAACGACTTCACAGAAGAACTAGTATTAATATGTAAATATCTCTATATTATAAATGATTTCAAATATATACATAATAATTATAATAAATTATATTAATATAGTTAATTGTTAGTTTTATGTGTCAACTTGACTGGATTGACATGGTGTTCAGATATTTGGCTACCCATTATTTTCAGGTGTATCTGTGAGGATATTTCTGGATGAGATTGACATTTGAGGTGGTAGAATCATTAAAACAGATTGTTCTTCACAGTATGCATTAAGGGGGGTGAGGGGGAGGGCATAAGGGCATAATCCAGTACCTTGAGGGCTTAAATAGAACAGAAAGCAGAGGAAATAAAAATTTGCCCATTCTGCCTGACTGCTGAGCTGAGAGACTTACTGAGAATTCTGAGTCCCCTGGTTCTTAGGCCTTTAAACTTGAACTGAACCCTACCACTGGGTTTCCTGGATATTCAGCTTGCAGATAGCAGATCCATGGCACTTCTCAGCCTTCATAATCTCATGAGCCAATACTTTGTTCTACATATTATAGATCTTATTGATTCTGTTTCTCTGGAGAACGCTGACTGGTAATATGTTTTTCACATTATAAATAACCTCATTAAGGTTCAGTTAACTTGGTGGGCTAACCTCAGACACTGAGAAAAGTGGTAGAGAAGTTAACTAGAGGCCATCCATTCATCACTGAGCTGATAAAACTATATAGGATTTCAGCATTGGGGGAGCATGGGAGTTAGCAAAAAAAATTAGAAGCTGAGTTTCATAATCTCAGTGGATTACAAAAGCTGAAGGAGAAAGACAAATGTGTAAAGAAAGATGAATGCAAATCCAGACAATTTTCATTAACTTCTATAATTGTGTCCAAGACCAAACATGGGGCTTGTTACAGTATCTCCTACTTGTTCATTGGCCCAGCACCTTTTTCTTTGAGAAAAAGACTCCTTGCTCTACCAGCTGAAATTGCCAATCCTTTGGGTACCAACCTTCTGTATGCTAGGCATGCATCTTTGCCTCTAAGTGAAGACGGCTGGCCTGAGTCTAAAATCAAGCTGAATCCAGCAGAGCTAAGGAGCACAGAGTTGTGATAGCATCATTTGTGCATCTAGATCTCACTATTACTGAAATTAAGCCCTGGAGTCTTAAGTTATATAACACCATACATCCTCTACCCACCCACCAACATGCTTCTAAATTTTGCTTAAATTTGAGTTTCAGTCACCTGAGATTGAATCTGGAATGGCACAGCAACCAATCATCAGAGGCTAGATTAACAATATAGATATCACACATGACATTCAGATATATAGATCACCCCAGCCAAATGAATAATATGCTCTTTGTAACAAAGTAAAATGATAACGAATGACTTTTATGAAGGGAAATTTTAAATTGACAGTGTTCAAAACTGCCTCCATATCAATGATAAGATATGTGTAGCATGCTTTAAGGATCATACTAACATATTATAACTATGTAATCAGTGGAGGGATAATAATACTAGAACAGATTTCTGACATTAACAGTAAAGTTAAATTTTAAAAACCAGCAAAATTTCTTTGCAATTCACATCATTAACAAGGTGGAATTACCGAATAAAATATATTAAGGAAAATATTCCACAGGTTTGAAAAGTCTGTCTTAAATCTAAAAGGTAATAAGCATAATATATTTTTGAATGGCAATGTGAAATATTTAAAAATGTTACAATGCACTTATTTGAATGCAAATATTCTGGGCTAATTCATTCACTGCAGCTGTTTGATGGACACAGAACCACTTGAAACAATGTAAAATGTATAGCCCTATTTACTCAAGTTTTAAAGAAAGTGCAACCTTGCAGATCTGAAAATATTTATGATCTAAATCTCAAGGATGATTGATGTTATTTTCCTCTACAAAACAAACTGAAATTTTTATAACTG